AATATTAGGTTTCATGAGACTGCACTACGCAAGTGAGGTGAGGATATGTAAATATTTGACATGTGCACTCATAGACGTTATGGCACATAGCCTGATACTTGGTTATATGTATCTACTTAATGTGCTTTCAGCCAGTATTCACATATGATCCTTTACTAGATTATGGTTATTAAAAGTACCAGACCATATGAATACAAATATGACCATACGTTGCTTTTGAGAGTAAATGATCACCCAGTAAGTAACGTGGTCTAAGTAAAATATTCTCTTTTTTAATTATGTAGTCCTCCTCGCCATCCTCATCACAGCCTCATTCTAGCCACTGCAGAACGAAGTCCTCATCATTGTGTCACCATGCATCCCTGCCCTGGGTCAAACGTAACCATGTAGGCCCTGCAAAGGCTACCAGTCCATCTCTCCGTCTTCGTCGCTGGCGACCCTTCTTACGCCTGCCATCTTTGGGTCTCCATTCTGTTGTAAGTTTAGTCAATCTTCCATCTCTTCTTCCAGTGACAAGGGCAGTCCATTTTTTTTTCTTTCTTTCTTAAATGCCTTCAGTCTTCAAAGTGCTTTTCTCTTGGGTCATTCAACCATTAACTTTTTCTCCCCCCAAAAGATTGCAAACATACCTCTATGTTTTGCAGTCTAGCTTGACTTTCACCAGTGCCTTGGTGAACATCCATCTTTTCACTCCATATCCTGCCAGCATAAGGGCACCTGCCTTTTGATGAGTGCTGATCAATATTCGTGATAATGTTTAAGTTCTTGTCAGTTGTTAAAGTGAGTATGTGTTCTCTTACCTTTCAGCTTTCTGATTTCATTTAGTTGACTCAGGTCAACAAATGCTGTGTACCTTCTGAGTTCTTTGCCATCTAAAACTTTATTTTTTTCATGTTTCCGAGCATGACTTTAGTCTCTTGCCATGCTCTGGGGTCACTTTACTTACTCTATCCTCAATTTAAACCCTTCATGGTGTAGGGTGTTTCATCTAAGCTATTTTATTCCCTGAGGTGGCTCAGGTACTTGGTTTAATCTTGATCCAATCTTCCCTGCCTATTTGACTTCTAAAGATCTTTTCCAAGTAGGAGGTGAAGATTTTTTCCTTGTGTATTAATGTAGGCTTTCCACAAAATTTATGATTTCTTTTTTGTAGGCAAATAATATCAGCAAAGTTAAAAAGTACATTTGTTCTTGTACTCTTGCTAATTGCCTTAAAGTTGAGGTTGACGATGGAATTCTAATAATTCTTATAACTGAAACTGCAGAATTAAGCAACTACAGCTCTTGTCATTCTGATATTTTAGACTATTAAAGGCAATGACTGGTCTGTCAAAGCCTACCTAGACATCCAGTCTTTGAAAACTTTGGTGTGTGCCATACATTTATGAGAAACTTGACATTTCTATAAATCAGCATGACTTTTGAAGCCAGTGGAAGTCTCATTACACATACATTTAATGTTTAAAAATAATTAAAAGCCATTGTCAAACATTCTTTTCTCCCACTTAATTACCTTTCTCAAGCAATACTCAAACTATGAAGTCTTGGCACTTTTTCTTAAACATTTGCTTCTACCAAATATCAGTATGGTCATCAAATAGCCTTCCATTTGTGCTTAGTATCAACAAACTGGTGTCTCTCTCTCCTTCTCTCTCTCTATTTTGTTATCCTCATAGGGTCACAACATCATTTGTTATTTTTATTCGTCCATTTGATATTTGTTGCTGCCTTATTGTGCCGTACAGTTTTGCACAGTGAGAAATACAGTGTGAGTAGATGATCAGGGTAAAATCCTAAATTTGTAAAATTTGACCTGAGCACAACTGATTTAATTCTAAATATGAATAATTTCCTTTGTACTTAAAAAATATTCTAAATATCAATGAACATGTCATACAATTTGGCATTTTCAGTTTTTTATGTTTTTATGTAATGTCAGTCTTTATATTAATTCCATTGCCTTATAGGTTCATAAATATTTTCATAGCATAGTGGTTAAAAATCATGGATTCTGGAACCACACTGCCTGGGTTCGAATCCAGATTTCATGACTTACTAACTGTGTGACCTAGGACATATTACTTAATGCCTCTGTGCCTCAGTTTTCTTGAGAGTAAGATGAATATAATCATATTGTCTGTCTTATTTGATTTATATGAAGATTAACTAGTCAATACATATAAAGCACTTAGAACAGTGCCCGGTATATATTAAATGCTATATAATTATACATTAAACTATATTTTTTATTATGCAAAATTTATATTTAATATTTAATTTATAATTTGTTATATCACTTTTTAAATTCTTTGACATAACTAAGAAGTGTTATATTTTAAATTACATATATAAGAAAACAGTATAAAAAATGTAGGCAAAAATAATACAATCTATGGCCTCTGTTTTTTGCCTTTGTGTACCTATTTTTTGACCATTTTTCAAACAGAAAACTTGCTGGAATTTGCTTTTTATTTTTGTTTTTATTGGAATAATTCTCAAACAATTGGAATAATTGTAGATATTAGACTCACAGACTAATTGAAGTTAACCAAAGGAAAAGGCTCATAACTGGTACTGAGGTTTTGTGGAAGGCTTAGAAGTTTTAAGCTTTACTTATCTTTTATAATAGCTCTAAGGCTTTTCATACCCTCTTTAGAGTTTTGTGGTTTTAGTATGCACTTTTGCATAAAAGGTATGATGCAAAATTTTGGATCACTAGAATTGGTAATAGCTTACATTTGTGATAATGTATTATTTTTAATATAATATACATGAGGTTTATATAGCACTTAACAGTTTACAAAGCACTTTCATGCATCCCCTTTAAACCTCAAAACTGACAGGAGCCCAAGGCTCACAGAGATTGGATGCATATTCAGTTCTCTGACTACAATTGTACTACTTTTACCTCTAGCACAGTTGTGTATACTGGCAAAATATGAAAAGTAGAAGCTATAAGATGTATAATTCTTAAGAAGAGATGATGTTAAAGTAATTAATAACTTATGAAAACATGACTCAAAAGATTTAAAATACTTGATATCTCATTGGAAAATTATATTAAAATAAGTAAAACAAGACCCTTTTTTGGTTGAAAAAGGAATTCTTTCTAGCATTTTTGTTATAGAATTGAATTTACAGTTTGTAGAATTGCCTAGGTTTAGTCTTGAAAAATTGGACTCTTCTAGTCATTGATAAAATGAGAGTATTGGATTAAGTGATCACTATTATTTTTTGATTCCCCGACCAGGAAAGGAAGGGAACTCATTATCACTGTCCTTAAGGATTTGAAAAAATACCATGTTCAAGAGGAATTAGCATACATATTTTAGCATCAGTATAAGGAATAATGGTAATGAAATTGTCTAACAGTGGAACAGACTGCCTCGAAATCTAGTGGAAGTCCTCTGCCATTGGAGGGGCTACCACAAGATGGAGCTGTGGTAGAAAGGAATCAAGAATTGGAGCAACAATAAAACTAGATGACCTCGATTCCTGCCAACTGTGAATTTCTCTAGTTCTAGTTTAAAGTTAGGAAGAGCTAGTTTGCCACATTAGTTATTGTTGGATTTCTTCCATTCATAATTTGAGGGAAGTAATCTCTGAAGAATGTGAGATTAGATGAGTCACGGTAAATGTTTTAGAAGCATTCTGAAAATCCAAAATAGTAATGTTTATTTTGTATCTTTCAATTTCTGCATGAGGAAACTTTACATTACATCTGCTTGAAGATATATAATTACTTGAGGGTAAAAAAAGTACAATTTTTTTTTTTCCCTTTTTGTCTTTTTTCGTGTCCGGCAACGGATCACAACCCTCAGTGTCGCGCCCGTACCAGACCGGGACCGGCAACGGGATCGCAACCCTCAGTGTTGCTCCCACACCTCGCTCAGCCAGTGAGCGGGAACCGGTCTGTATGTGGGATCCAAACCCTCGGCGGGAGTGCCACCACGCTTCCCAAGTGGCGCACTGTAGCAGTGCGCCACCGGGCCGGCACAAAAAGTACAATTTTTTGAGTTAAGATACTATCTATGTTACTTAAAGGATGTTAAGTAACATGATATATAATTTGATTTATGCCTCTTAAAAACTTTTACCTCTAAAATTTGTGTTCTACTTGCATTTAATGGTGATTGTATTTCATTTCAAACCATTTAGATTTCATATATAGCTAACACATATTAGTGTTGCTGAGTAGTTACTACAGATCATGGAAAATGACAGTTAATCAGTGTATTGACTTTGCAAAAGTTATTTGAAAGTTTGAGAAGTGTAGATATTGCTCATACAAACTGAATTTGGTAAGCTAAGAAAACATAGGTATAGTTTTAATTTTAAACTGTCATTAAGAGTCAATGAAAGCAAGAGAAAAATCATTGACTACAGTTAATTATACTTTAATATGTTCTTCTCTTTCCCCCCCTTTTAATCTTCTGGGCTACTTTCCTGCATCTATTCATTTTTAAACTTTTTGAATCTAGAATGATTAAAGATACTTATTTTAGACTGTTTCCGTTGCATTTTCCAAAACATGAGATTATCAAGTTCAAGTCATTAAGGGAACAACTCTTTCTTGAAGTCTTGAAATTTAACTTGAAAAGAATTTCTTTAACTCTGTTTATGCATTATTAAAAATTTTTTAGTATTTTTATTTCAAATTTTGAAAATTACACAAATCAGTTCAAGCATTTATTTCATTCAACAAGTATGCATTGTGCACGCATTAGGTACCAGGCATTGTGCTAGGTGCTGAGGCTTCCAAGGTGACTAAGACTTTTGGTCTTTAGATCAGCTGAGACTAAGAAAGAGTTTTCCTTGTTGATGGACAAGCACATTTTCACAAACACGGGCATGGTCACTGTCCACAATATCAAAGATTAAACTTTGAATTATATTGCATAAATGTTCTCATGCTATTTGATGTTATTTGTATGTGTTTATATGTACTTGATTGATTTGACTACTAATTATATAATAAATATTGTTCCCTCCTATTCCAGGTACCAAATATAGATGAAAAAGTAGATCTTCATTTTATTGCATTAGTTCATGTAGATGGGCATCTCTATGAATTAGGTAAGAACTATTTTAATTTATGCTGGGGAGAGAAATGGTAAATGGGAAAGTCTCTGTTTGTGACAAATAGGACTGTTGTTATCCATTGTGTTTGCTTAAATTAATTGATTGCCCTATAAAATTGAGTTAATACAATGGAAATTTTCCTTTTAAGATTTTTTACTACGAGAAATAAATTTTTCTCATGTCTAAGCAACTTATAATTTAAGAATGTTTTCATACCACCTTTGCATTTTAGCAAAATAAGAAAATAAAAACTATTACAGAAAACTTCTGTAAATCACTTTGGCAGTCTTTACGGAATTACTGAGTTAGTTATTATCAACATCTGGATGAACTGGCTTTAGTTTTAAAACATGGTGCAGTATTCATAATAACTAGGTTTTGTATTCAGTAATGAGTATCACTAGTTTTCAGGCTTTTGTACTGTCCCTATGTATTCCTGATTTTTTTAAAAGGCTTTACAGGAGCCTGTATTTTTCTGGCAATGATTTCCTTGGTTTTATGTCAAAATACCCATGATTAATTACTTGGTATTTTGGCTGATATCTGCTCTTTTTCTTTTAAGTTTAATTTTAGGTGGACTATTTCAGGTCATGTTGGAGGAAATCCACATAATTTTAACTGATTTATTCAGACAGAAGAAACTTCTTAATTTTTTTGTAATTGGTATACAGTACTTATTATGAGTCCTTCATATCTTTCTCCACAAGGATTTTATTGTGTTAAAAGGGCCAAATAAACAAACAGTAAAAGAGAAGTCCTTTTCAGTAATTCTACATAGCATGATTTTTGGTTCTCTGAGTTCTCACTTGCTATCTTTATATTAACTTGCCACTTTCATTTTTCTTAGCTTATTAAAGGACTCAGATTGTGACTGTGATTTGTAAAATTTAGGTGAATTTTTTTTGTTTGGAATACAGCAACAGAATCATTTACTTTATTAAAAAGAAACCTGTATTAAAGGGGACAAGGAAAAGAACAGGGTACTTATAGAAATGTACAACCCTGAGAGTTGTCTACAGTGGTAGAGTGATTTGTGTAGGAATCAAACTAAAATGAAAAGAAGTCATCATTATGGGAGTATATAACAGATCTATGGAACAGTTTGGAAGATGTGCTTTGCTAATTCAGTCTACAAAATCTGCATAGTGATAAGGTATAACAGTGATTGGGGACTTCAGATGTCTGACTGATTGCTGGAAGCAGAGTTTCTACTCTGAGTTTTGAATAATAAAGAATAACTAGTAGAAGAAGTAAAGAGAGTGCTGAGACTGACCAGACACATTGTGTTGACTTCCATAAAGTAGATTTAGGAAAGGCCAAAGAAAAGATAAATGTGATCTGTAGCCAGACACTATAGAAGTGATGATGACTTTCAGAATGAGAGACTTAAAGAGCAAACAATAACATCTAAAAGATATTTAGACTAAAAAAAAAAAATCTCTGATAATCTTATCAGGAAGGAAAGAGTTATCTAAAAACCTCAGTTTGACTGTTTAGATAGCTCTCTGAGCTCAGAGGCTAAAAGGGCAGTTAAAAGGAAGGACAGGGCTGGCCAGTTTGCTCAGTTGGTTAGAGTGTGGTGCTGATAACACCAAGGTCTAGGGTTTGATACCTGTACCAAAAAAAATGGAAAGACAAGTATCACGGATACACTACATATGAAGAATGATGTTCTTTTGGAGCATGCCATCATCAACACAAAAGGATTTTAAAGTTGATTTGAAATAAGAACTTCCGGAAAGAAAGAACTACTGAGGTCTTCTTTGGTTTAGGTGTTCTTTATCAAAGAAGAATGATCAATATGGTTGATAGAGAATTAGAGGAGCATTGGGATTAGACTCTTTACAGTAGTTTAAAGAATTTCAGAGTTGTAAAGAATAGCCATAATCTTTGAGATGTCATAGAGAACAGTTACTAGACAAATGAAGATGGTCAGTTGCTGATTCATTGCAAGAGAAACTGGCAGTAACCCTGATGTGGACCTAATAAAAAAGGAAAATTGAGCAAGAAGAGTATTGAGTTAGTGAATACAAAACAGTGATTAAGGGCCGAGCCCGTGGTGCACTCGGGAGAGTGCAGCGCTGGGAGCGCAGGAGCGCTCCTGCCGCGGGTTCGGATCCTATAAAGGGATGACTGGTGTGCTCACAGCGCTCACTGGCTGAGTGCGGTGCGGCCAGTCTCAAAAAGGACAAAAAAAAAAAAAAAACAACCAGTGATTAAGAGAACAGTATACAGTTTTGTTTTTTTTTTTGTCCTTTTTTGTGACCGGCTGCACCGCGCTCAGCCATTGAGCGCATCGCACTGGCCATCCCTATATAGGATCCAAACCCGCGGCAGGAGCGCTGCTGCGCTCCCAGCGCCGCACTCTCCCAAGTGCGCCATGGGCTCGGCCCATAGTATACAGTTTTTAATAACAAAAAAACATTTCAAAGTAACCTTTTAAAAAAAATAAGGCTATATGATTATATACATGGTGCAAGATAATTTCTATAGGGTCATTCTTTAACAGGGGATGGTGGTAGTCTTTACTATATTTATTCCCTTCTAAATTGTAAAGTTAACTGCTGAAAAGGACTGAGTTATTTCTTTTTGTTATCACCCCTTTCTTTTCCTTGTGGCATCATATAGTTCCTGGCATATTAGAGGGGAAGAAGTACTTATTTTAAAACAGATATAACGACTCCTTATGGATAAATTAGAGTATTTGGGGTTTAGAGGTGGAATTCAGAATTGAGTGAACAATCAGGTTAAAAAACTGTTAATGAACTATTGTCTACCTGAAGTAACAGGAGTACTTTGAAACATCTAAAAAATTTTCATTTTGAAATAATTTTAAGTTTTCATAGAAGTTATAGAAATAGCATACTGAGTTTTCATAGACCCCTTCCCCCAGATTACCCAGATACAGGTAATATTTCTGAACCATTTGAAAATAAGCTGCAGACATGATGCCCTATTATCCTTTAATATTTCTGTGTGTACTTCCTCAAAACAAGTGGATGCTCTCCTATGTAACTGCAGTATGACTATCAATATCAGGAAATTAGCACTGATCCAATATTACCATCTAATCCACAGATCCCATTCAGATTTTGCTGATTATCACAATAATGTCCTTTTTAGGTTCAGGAGCCAGTCCAGGGTCGTGTGTTAAATTTAGTTGTCATGTTTCTTTGTCTCCTTTTTTTTTTGTCTTTTTTTCGTGTCCGGCAACGGATCGCAACCCTCAGTGTCGCGCCCGTACCGGACCGGGACCGGCAACGGGATCATAACCCTCGGTGCTGCGCCCACACCTCGCTCAGCCAGTGAGCGGGAACCGGTCTGTATGTGGGATCCGAACCCTCGGTGGGAGCGCCACCGCGCTCTCAAGCAGCGCACTGTAGCATGCGCCACCGGGCCGGCCCCTCTTTGTCTCCTTTAATCCAGAACACTTCCTCAATCTTTTCTTGTTTTTCATGTCTTTGATATTTATTTTTAGGAGTACAGGGCAGTTACTTTGAGATTAACCTTCAATTTCAGTTGTGTGATATTTCCTCATGATTTATGCCTTTTTGGCAGGAATACCACAGAAGTGATGCTGTATTCTTCTCAGTGCGTATATCAGGAGACATAGGATGTTAATTTGTCTCATTACTAGTGATGTTAACTTTTGTTACTTGGTTTAGATGGTATCTGTATGATTTCTCCACTATAAAGTTAATAAGTAATGTAATACTTATTACTAAGTAATGAATAGATATTTTTCAGGAGATACTTTGAGACAATGTAAATATGCAGTTTCTCATCAAGCTTTTAATCACCAGATTTAGCATATATTGATAATTCTTGACTGAATCGATTATTGCTATGATGATTGCCAAATGTCTTTTAAAAAAATACCTCCAACATTAGAAGCTTTCCTTTTCCTCCCATTCATGTAATCATTTATGTCAGAATGAATTCATGGGTTTATATTTTACTTAAAAGGTTACAATCCATTATGTCACATATTTTGATTCTCAGATTATCCCAGACTTGGCTTTTGAAGGGAACCTCTTCATGCTGGCCCTTGTGTCCTTTTTATGTCCTTGTCATTCTTTGAATGCTTTCTTTCAGGTGAAACAAGATGTCAGGCTTATCTTTAATTTTTTGTTTCCCAGCTCTATGTTCATGCACTTCTCCAAGGAGAAGTGTTTCTTTTGTTGTTCCTTTTAGTGGAAAATAGTATTTAGAGCCAAGATCTGGGTGCTGGATGAGCTCATTGTTACTAAGATATCATTGCTTCTAGGCCCTCTCAGAGGACAGAGCTAGGAAATATTTTTATGTATTATACACACTCATGTGTGTGAATATCGGTATACATGTGCACACAATTACATCTATTTCTCTGTCTCCATATATTAAAAAACATTCATTTACATCTACTTCTAATTCTTATCTAATATCATTGATTTATTGTAATGTTCTTTCCAGTTGCATATTGGGAAAAAAAGCTTTTATTGGTAATTTCATATTGATTCAGAAATTTTTATTGTGCTTACAAACCATGGGATTATAGAAGGGGGTGTGTTTTACGGATTGAATTTGAAGAAGTGCCCCTTATAAAACGTCTGAAATTACAAATTTGAATGTAGAGTATCAATTAGCTTTGGGTTAGCATGGGTTTATATAATTCTGGACTTTTTTGTTTTCATAATATTGAAAAAATACTAGTTTATTTAAGGTGACTGTGAATTTGTTTAATTAGTTTGGTGATCAGTAAAATAATCCTAGGTTATTTGAATTATTGCTCTATATGACTGCATTGGTGGTACACAGTTAATAGTAGTAATATATAAGCTATGAATGACACTGTGGCTCCCTTTCATTGGCATAAATATGTCAGTCTTACTTAATATCTAATTTGGCTTATAAAGTAAAAAAAATTTTTTTTAATTTCTAAGGGTAAAAACTGGGGTCATAACTTAAAAAAAAATTGACCATTATTAATTTTGCATATTCTTTTCAGGAAATTAAAGCTAATATTTATTTATAATAAATTCTGTTTTTGAAGATAATTTAGGCTTTCAAGCATGGAAGCAAAGTTCTAATAACCTTTAATGTTAAAAAATAGTCATAGGGGGCCGGCCTGGTGGCGCACTAGATAAGTGCGCCACTTGGGAAGCGCGGCGGCGCTCCCGCCCGAGGGTTCGGATCCCACATACAGACCGGTTCCCGCTCACTGGCTGAGCGAGGCGCGGGAGCAGCACCGAGGGTTGCGATCCCATTGCCGGTCCCCGGTCTGGTACGGGGGCAACACTGAGGGTTGCGATCCGTTGCCGGACACGGAAAAAGACAAAAGACAAAAAAAAAAAAAAAAGTCATAGGTTGCACATTTAAAATATTTGTTTTAGGGACCGAGCCCATGGCGCGCTCGGGAGAGTGTGGCACTGGGAGCACAGTAGTGCTCCCGCCACGGGTTCGGATCCTATATAGGGATGGCCGGTGTGCTCATAGGCTGAGTGCGCTGTGGCCGGTCTCAAAAAAGGACCAAAAAAAAAAAAATTTGTTTTAGGATATATTATTTAAAATATCTTTTAACTTTTCTTGCCTCACTATGGGAAAAGGAACATGGAAGTTGAAAGTACATTATCTTGTAAAAGCAGCTAAACATTTAACTCAACTGTTTGTTTTCACAGATGGGCGCAAACCATTTCCAATTAACCATGGAGAAACTAGTGATGAAACTTTATTAGAGGTAACAATAAAACCTGTTGGCTCATTTTAAGTGTTATTTATATTCTCATCTTTAAAACATCTTTAAAGATCACTTGTATAACATTTTCTCTATATTTGGATGCTTTTTTGCCTTTGCTCTCTTTAGAAAATCCAAAAGGAAAAATTTGAATTAGTGTTAAAAATCTATAACAAATTAAGAGGTTTCCAGAGCTCTTTGTGCGAACAAGTGTCAAATTTGAAAAAGTATTGACAGACTTGCTCAGTATATCCCATATTTCATTGAATCCAATATACCATCAATTGTATCCTGTTCCTGATTTTAGAGATTTTAAAATAGGGACAAATGATGTGGCCTAGAATCAATGAAATATGTAATTTTCAGGATAAAAGTTTCTTAAAAGCATTTTAAAAAAGAGTACTTACTATATCTTATGCTTTTGTACCAAGCAAAAACTGTTTACTCTTCTGGTCTTTTTTATTTTTCATTTGGGAAAGAAGTTTGCAATTTAAAATTAGTATGAATTAGAAAAATATGAAATGTTTATTGATCATTTGTAAGTAAAACATATGTTTCTAAACCAGAAAATTGTACTTTTTTTCCTCCCATAGGATGCCATAGAAGTTTGCAAGAAGTTTATGGAACGTGATCCTGATGAATTAAGATTTAACGCGATTGCTCTTTCTGCAGCATAGCTTGTCAATAATGGAAACACCAAATACTGTATTATTTGCATCAAAATTTAAATTTCTGCTGCCATACACAAACTCAAAACTTTTGCTATTTTCATTAACTTGGCTGATTAAACTTTATGTGAATTAAACTTTGACTTAACCCGTGTTTTATATTATTTTTGCCCCAAGTTAAAGTCGCAATTCTTTTCCTTCTTTTCTTTTTTGTGAAGGATTTATCTTGTTTGAAGACTAGTGATAGCTTTCCTATTCTTTTTAGATTTCATGGGATATCTTGTATTGGGACACCCGGTACAATTTCCATCTGCATAGTGTGAAATATATTATGCCATATTTTAACATTTATTTACAAAACATTTGTCAAGCATCTACTTGGAATGAGATGGACATTCTTCTGGGTTCAGAAGTTACAGCAATGAACACTGTTGACAAGCTTCATAGTCATGGACCTTATGTTCTTGTGAGAAGAGATAAATAAACACTTAAAGAAGATACATATTGTGAAAGTTGATGAAATCACTTTCTGTTTGACTCAGAGAAAATAGAGCTGGGAAAGGCACAAAGGAGGGGGGCTCATGTTTGCTTGTCTGAAATAAGAACTGTTTCCAAGGGCTTTCTAAAACCCATCAGAAATCCCTCATGTCTTTCACTTTCATCTCACATCTCCTGCTTTGTGTATATGCACGTTTCTGCAACAAAGGTTGTCATTAGATATTCTTTAGAACTACAGTAATTCAGATAAGATGCTCTGACAAGAAACTGCCCAGTAACATCATCTCAACCAATGAAATGATGACAAATCTAACTTTGAGCTTTCAAAACCAATGAACTCTGCTTCCAAGTAGCTTACATGAACCTCTGCCTTTTTGCCAATAAAAGCTTTCTCTTACCTTTTCCTCACAATGCGTTCATGGCTTGCCATGGTATGCATTCCAGATTATAATCCTATTTTATATTCCCTAGTAAACTCAACATATTTGGATATATTTTTCCCTAGTGTGTTTTTCCTAGGTTAACAATACCAATGATAGATGTTATTTAGAGAATTAATGTGGGATTTGTGTTAGAAGAGTGACTGAGTAGAGACTTCAGATTTTGTTCTCAGGGAAGGCTTCCGTGAAGAGGTGACTTTGAAGTTGAAATCTGAATGGCAGAATGTAGTCAGTTATATAAAGGTGGTAGAGAAGAGTAAGGGGAATAATTAATGCAGAGTCCCTAAGGTAGGAAAAATCTGTCTGCGTTATAGCACCAGGAAGAAGGTTTATATGACGAATGCATAGAGTTATGGGGAAAGTAGCAGGAGACAAGGTTGGAGAAGGAGGGGCTTAGTGATATAGGAAAAAGCATTTGGATTTGTTGCCAGTGTGGTGGTAAGCTATCAGAGGGCTTTAAACAGGACAGTGACCTGATTTGATTTATAATTTAAAAAGATCACTGATGACTCTGTGGATAATATATTGGGAAGGAAGAGGGGGCAAGAACAGAGGTGTGGAGACTTGTGAGGAGCCCACTATAGTAGTATAGTGAGAGATTGAGATAGCTGGGTCTTAAAAGTGGCAGCCTTTTAGACAGAGGTTTGTGAGTGAAATTGTGGTGTGCTTTGGAGAAGGAAAGGTGTCAGTTGAGTCTTTAAGACTATGTGGAAAGGTGGAAGAGCACTTACAGAGTTGGGTTAAAACAGGGTTGGAGTGATGATAATGTGTATCTTTTTCTGGGGGGTAGTAGTTAACTTGGGTGTATACACTTATCAAAAGTTATTGAATTGTACTTTTGAAATCTGTGCTTCACTGTATATATATTTTTACCACAAAAAAAAAAAAAACCCAAAACAAAACAAAAACCAGGGCTGGATTGAAACAAGTATAGTAATTAGAAGAAAGACCAGATTGGTCCAGACTGAAGTTCTGGAGGGATATTTGAGTGTAGATGTTTATACATTATTCTCTGAATTAACATGATTCTTGAGGCAAGTAACACAGGAGAAGTGGTTTTTAGGAAGAGTGATGTGATAGTGGCTTGCAGAATGTATTAGGTCTTTGTTATCCAATGTGAGTTCCATCAGTGTTACCTAGGAGCTTGTTAGAAATGAAAAAATTTGGACCCCAGCCCCAGAACCTGCATTTTGAACAATATCCCTGGATAATTCATATGCATATTAAGTTTGGGAAGCATTAGATTAGAAAAAGACTATCATGAGGAAGGTCACTTTAGAAGATATATAGGGGCCGGCCTGGTGGCGCACTGCTACAGTGCGCTGCTTGGGAGCGTGGTGGCGCTCCCGCCGAGGGTTTGGATCCCACATACAGACCAGCCGCTCACTGGCTGAGCGAGGTGCGGGCGCAACACCGAGGGTTGCGATCCCGTTGCCGGTCCCGGTCCGGTACGGGCGCGACACTGAGGGTTGTGATCTGTTGCCGGTCACAAAAAAAGACAAAAAGGAAAAAAAAAAAAGATATATAAATTTACCACCACTCTGGTGAAGAGGGCCTGGATGAAGGGATGGCAAAAAGGATGAAGAAAAGATCTGAAAAAATTCAGTAGGCTGTCTATATGTAGATGATGCTTTTGTCATACCAGTAATAACCATGTGTTCTATTCTTGTTACACTGTTTACATTTTATACTCATGTCTATTTTGTATATTAAATATTCCTAAGCAGTTTCTGCCTGTTACTCTGCTGGATTTCTCCTACTTAGATAATTTCCTAGTAGATCCTAAATCAATGGCATGTTACCTAGAATTTACATAGTATCTCAAAATTTGCTAGAAGGAACACTAATTTTGCAGACTACTAATGGGCAAGAAGGGTCATGAAGTCAAGTATCTTGAAAATATTGGGTTAAAGTTAAACAATTTTTTAAAAAGTTATAGATATATTGGGTAGGGGCAATTGCAGAATGCCTGTTTTTTTCAAGAAAAACTTATTCTACGTATTATGAATACATTTCCTAAACATTTTATGGAGCAACACTTAGGACTAGCATTCTTTGTCACACACTTTAGGGTCATAATCCCTTGGGGAACATACAGCTAGAAAAATTTCTCTTGCTTCTCCCTTCCTAGATTTATGTCTAGAATTTTAGTTTTTTAACTCTGTGCTTGTATTTCCTACAAAACCTTGTTTAGTTACTTTCTTAAAACTTGCACTTGTAGAAGAGATTAATAGTTTATTTTGTATGGAAACTTGTAGAGATACTGAGGCTGATCAAGTTGTGGGTCATTTTTGTATACTGCTTAACAGATTTGGTGGAAATGGAACTAAAATGAGAACTAAAGCTAAATTTTGCTTAGTGGACTTCTGGAAATTGACTAAACATCATCTTTCACTGGATGTATTGGTTTGCTTTAAATTATTGAAACATAAAGGAGCTTTTATGAACTCCATAATATTTCACCCTTTTAATATTTTCTTTGTTCATTTGTGAGTAAAACAAAAGTTATCTGTATTCTGTGGTAAATCAAACTTTAAGATGTCTGTAAAGAAAACCATCTTTAATTTCTTATAAAAAATATTTAAACAAATCTGATTTAAATTTATTTTCATTTCATTTTAGATTTGTGTGCAGTACCTACTGAGTAAACTTTATTATTTGGCTGTGTATAACATACAATGTGCTTATTTAATGAAAATAACATAGCTTAAAAGGTATTTTTAGCCATTAATGTTTATCTAATACGATAGCTTTCAAAAGAATCATCTATAGGCTTAAGATCCCTCTATTGGTGTTTGTAAGAATTGCAGAGACATATTTACATCACTTTTTAAAAACTTCTATTTATAGAAATTTATTCCTTTTAGGTAAATCGTGTGTGTGTATATATGTACACTCATATATACATATGTTTGTGTGTATATATGTATGTGTGCATACATTCACACATACTTATACCTTGAAAAGGCAAATAACTTTGGTTTAAATTCTCATTTAAATTCTAGACTGAAGTTAAGTAAAACCACTTTGAAGAGTGTAATCATTGTACAAGTTGTTTAGAGATAATTTAGAGGGATTTATATACACATACATAATAGATAATGCTTTTGTCTTGTAAGATTATCTGGTAAGATCATAAAAAAAATTCCTTGTGCTCTCAATTAAATTACTACTAAAAACCAAGTGTGGAATATACCGTTTTCAGATAGCAGATAATGTTTTGTCTTTGCTTCTTTTGATTTCAAGATTTGACCTTAAAGAGCATATACCATTGTGATGTAGAAGATGCAGCATCATGAAGGGTATTATTTTCTTGGTGACAGTAGTGCCAGTGGATGAGACCAGTCCACCGTGACTTAGTTTCATGCACACTCTCACTTGTTTTGCTTTTGAATAAAAATTATTCTAAATCTTTCTCTTGACTTCTTTGTTTAGTATAGTGGTTCTGAACCTGTCTGTTGATTCTCCCTACTTGATAGGTGAAGGTTCTCATTATGACTTTCCATAGTCCACAGCTAAATATTCTATGGGAGGCTATAAAAACAATAAAGGCTGTATTAGGAGACTTCAAAAAGTTTGTGGAAAAATGGAATTAAGAGATAAAAATTAAAAATATAAACTTTATTTCTCAACATAAGCACCATCAAGTTCAAGACACTTTTGTAAGTAATTGTACCAGTCATTTAGTCCTCTTTAAAGAACTAAGGGTTGTGGAATTTCAACCATGCCAATGCAGTCTTTTTTACATTATTAACTAAAAGAAAATGGGTGCCCTTTAAAGATTTTTTAAGATTAGGAAATAAAAAGTCAGAAGGAGCCAAATCCGGGCTGTAAGGGGGATGCTTAATGATCTCCCATTGAAACTCTCACAAAATTGCCCTTTTTCGATGAGAGGAACGAGCAGGAGCATTGTTACGGTGGACGACTCTCTGCTGAAGTTTCCCTGGGCACTTTTCTGCTACAACATTGGCTAACTTTCTCCACTCTCATAATAAACAGAGGTTATCATTCTTTGGCCTTCCAGAAAGTCAACAAGAAATGCCTGGGGATCCCAAAAAGCTCTTGTCATGACCTTTGCTCTTGACTGGTCCACTTTTGCTTTGACTGGACCACCTCCACCTCTCTGTAGCCATTGCTTTGATTGTGCTTTGTCTTCAGGATCATATTGGTAAAGCTATGTTGTATCTCCTGTTACAATTCTTCAAAGAAAAGATC